GCCCACCGAAATGTTAGCCCTTCCTCGGCCCCCCCCCCGCCACCCACCCCCATCCCCGCCCACCTCCATCCCGCGGTGACACCCCAGACTGGAGTAGCTGAGCTGTGCAACTACTGTGGCGTTCATGCAGAGCAGCAAAGCGTGTATAAAGATCCGGTGCCCCGGGGGAGATCCCTCCCGACTTGCCCCATCCTTTTAGTCACCCTCATGAGACACCAGCTTTCTGCTTGCCCTCTCACTTGAGCACCCACTCTGCTTGGGACAGTGTGGCAGGGAAAATGCTTCTCACAGTCCCGGCAGTGTCCCCACCTGGCTAATTATAGCCAGTGCAGGCGGGCTAGGTGCCTGTTTCCCCAGTGACCTAATAGAGACACCCAATCCCCTGGGCCCAGTCCCAAGGTGACTCCTCCTCCACCCCCTTCCACCTGGAGGTCACACTGGGGTGCTGAGCAAGGCAAGTCTGGAACTCAAGGAGGATGCAGTGATCTGACATTGTGAGCTAGGCCAGAAGGGCTGTGTTCACCGGAGGCCTGGAAGGGGCTGGTGAAGATATACTGGACTGCACACAGAGCGGCAGGAACACTGGGAGGGAAGAACAGAGTGTGTTTGGGGTCTGTCCTGGGCTTTGGCTGTTGACTTTTCTGTACATGACAAAACTGGGATCCTGGAGTGAACAATAAGTACTGATGTGAAGTGCAAACATAGCCTGGACCTGTCCCCAGAGGGTGGAGGAGTGGGGAAAGTGAAGGGGCCGGGGCAGGGCTACGAACCTATGTGACTCACCCTCAGCACCGAGCTTTCTCTCTGACCCCAGTGGGGTGGGTGGTGGTGAGATACCAAAACCTAATCCTGTGTTTTAAGAAGAGTTTGGAAGAGTTTAATCCCCTTCTTAGCTGCTGAATGAGGACCAGAAGTGGATCATGTGGCTGATCTCCGTTGCTGCAGGGCCTGGAGTCTCAGACTGGATGAGCTGGGGGAGTGCAGGTATTCCACTGTTTCTGTGGCCAACAGCCACTCCCTCTGCTAGGGACAACACTTTCTTTCTCATCCTGAGACGTGGTGCTTGATTAAATCCCCTAAAACCTGGCAATCGCTTAGCACCAGTGTTCCAGGTATGATTTCAGAGAAAGGACTTAGGGAGGGGGTCAGTGATGCACCTTCTTCTCCTCTCCAGGGGAGACAGGACCCGCCAAGGGCTGCAGGGGTGGATTGTCTGGCCTCTAAAAAGGCTGGTCAGGGCTGGCTAGACTAACAGGACAAGCAGACTTAACTGGAAAGCTGGCACGATTGCTCCTCAGGTTCAGGCGAGAGGACTGCATGTGTTGTGAGGGAGTGGGGAGGAGGGTTTGGCCACTTCACACCACCTCTAGCTTCTGGAGTAGTCTCTGTTTCTCCATTTGTGGCCTGGGTCCCCTGGCCAACTCAGCATAGTGTTCTCGGACTAATCCTATCCCACAGACCATGCTCCCCAAAATGGTTCCACTAAGAGAGGCAGCCCAGGTTGTTCTGGGGAGATGGTGAAAAGTCTCTGCAGCAAGATAATGTGGCCAGCATCTTAAGCACCCATCAGGAAGCAGAGAGATTGCAATCTGGGGGAGATCTATGCATCGCAGCCTACACGGGCAAGGTACTAGACCCTACTATGAGTTCAACCCCAACTCCATGTTCCCAGGATGGCAGCTACTAGCCTCTGGAGGCTCTACAAGGCTCAACCATGGAGAGACTCATATGCCATAGCAAGTTCTCAAAGGAAGGATAAAATCTTCTGTGTGGTAATCACTCACCCTCTTTTAAAGCCCTGGGACTACCTCCGGTGCCCCTAGGACCTATAGGTCCTCTAACCATCCTCCTGGTTACAGATGAGCTGGCCAGGGAGGGGCCCTGGCATCTCAGTTGGGTCTGTGCTGCCTTAGCTAGGGCGTAGTGTGATTTCCCCATCCACAGAGGAGCCCCGTACAGAGCCACACTCCCAAGATGATCTGGAGAATTCTGGAGCCAGGCCCTGCAAAACCCCAGTGCACTTCAGCTGGGTCATAGTAATGAATTGGAAGTCAGAGTTCCCAAAGTTTGGGGATCTAGATGAGCAAAAGGGAACTTCATTCCAAAGTTCTTGGAAGGAACCTCTGAGAAAGCAAAGAAGGGGCTGCAGGTGAGGTTTTGGCTGGAGATTGCAGCTCCTCCCTCGTTATTCTGCTCCCCAGATCTGCTGTATGCTCAACATCTGGGGTACTGTCCTCTACCTGTGGCTGCCTTGGATTACTGCTCAGGCACTCATAGGCGTGAGCACAGAGCTCTCCTGGGCAGAGGCAGGGATATGGGGATGTAGTCTGAATTCATTCCCATCCCCACCACCCTAGGGCTCACACAGCTCACATTCTGCTCTCGGTCTCCGTCACCACTATCACTAGCTTGTCTATCTCAGCCATTTTCACCAATAGCAAGGTCCAAGCTGGTAAGTCTGGTGCAACCTTCTATTTCTTAGGAGCTCCCAGTCCTGTCAGGAATTGTGGAGGTCACACACCAGCTCTTCTTTTCTCTCCTCTCAGGTGGCATGTATTCCCTCATTCCAGGCAGCAAGGGTCCTGAGCTTAGTGGTTCCATGTCCCGACCCGGGGGGACAGCCGAACGGGTTTCCTGAGTGAAGGAGTGAGAGCCGGGGCAAGCAGCGTAGTGTTACAGCACGGAGACGACAGTGTCGTCTGTTTATTGTGGGCAGCACGGTACAGCACAGAGACGACGCAGTGTCACAGCTCTTAAGGGTCGCGTTGTCTACTGTGAGCAGCACGGAGACGACGCGGTATCACAACTCTTCAGGGTCGTCCGGAGACGATGTAGTGTTACAGCTTTTCAGGGTCTCCCAGTTCATCTGGAGACGATGCAGTGTCAGCTCTTCAGGATCTTCAGGGTCGTCTTCCTGGTCGTCGTCGTCTGGCTACTGTGGGCCAGGCATCGTGGTTATATACATTCTGGTGGGTTGTAAACAGTGGGCCCTGATTGGTTGTTAACGGTGGGCCCTGATTGGTTGTTAACAGTGGGTTATGATTGGTTGCTTTTGGACCAATCATGAGGTGCCGGATATGCAAATTTGAGGGATTCTAGTGGTCAATCAGAGCAAGGTTTCCAAGGTCAGGTTTTTGGAAGGGAACCAATCATGGTAATTGTTTGCTCTCTGAGAAACCTCGGCAGACTCGCTGGTGTGCAGCTTCCCACAGTTCCACTGGAACATCTCTGCCCTTGCCAACACGGCAGCTGTGGCTATGTGCACAGTGGGCTTTGCAGAGACCCTGTTGGCCTCTTGGGGTAATGCCTATCCTTCTCCTCTTTGTGCTCCTCTTTCAAGTCTGCTGACCCTAGGGTCTAACCCTGTACTGGGACTCTAACCTGAGCAAATAACATTAAAAGCCACACAGAATAGGCTGGCACCATAGCCTAGTGGTTAAGGGATCCTGCTCCCATGTGGCTTGCTACAGTTTGAATCCCAGTCCTGGAGGTTTGAAAGACCCACCACGTGTGTATGTGTATATGTCTAAAACCCCAATAGGACAGAAATATGGAGAAGAAGGGATTGTGGTGTAACCAGGCCTTATTAGGGGGGTGCTCTGTCCTCTCTGTCTGTCTGTCTCTCTCTGGTGAGTGTATGTACCCTCCGGCAATTAAAAAGTATCACATGGAGGAATCAAGTCAGCCGATAAATACTGTGACCTCTTTGTTCTGCCCTTCCAGGAGCATGGGGTGCAGCTGCAAGACATGGATCCTGAAAACCAGCTGCGGGTGGTGGGCATGGTGACCATGACGGTTCTTCTGGCTGTGGCACTGGCCGTCATAGAGTGGGAGTCTAAGGCAGACTCCTGGGAATTGAGGTGGGGCAAAGAGGCTGAGGGGATGGTGATAAGAACTGAATGGCACTGGTTGGGCCAAAGGGAGGAGAAGGATTAGGGATTGAGTGTGTGATAAAAGTTGCTGCCGTCTGAGAAGGCCAGACTAAACATGGGGAAGGAGCTTGTGAAGCAGATTCAAGGGAGAGAGACCTGAAATTAGATGATTTTGCTGGGAGAGACCACATGCCCCAGCTCGTCAAGAGAAAAGGAAAGAGAACTTGTTCTGAAGATCTGTTGGGATGAGCACCAGATAAGACTAGTGGGAGAAGGTAACAAATAAAAAATGCCCTGTTTCTCACTCCCAGATATTTCTGATTCCGAGATCTACCCGTTGTGGAGAGCAAACGTGATCTGCCTGTTGTCAGTTATCTTCCTGTTGTTGACACACCGAGACCTATACCGCAAGGCAGTATCAGGCTAAAGGAAGCCATATGTGTTTATCAGATTCTGCCACTCTCCATAAGCTCTCTAGCATGGGGAGCGATGCTTTGTAGTTTGAGGGGAGCGGGAAAAGGACACCAACCTGGTCAGAATTCCTTTATGGGAGGAGGCTGATGGGAGAGGGAACCAGAGGGCTGGAAGGAGCATCAAGGAGAGATGAGCACGGAACAGGAGTGTTAGTTACTTCCCCCCTTCCGTTCACATTTATCCTGCCTTGCTTTTGTCACCCATGGTATTTCAGGCTCAGATTATCTTCTTGCTGATACTCTTCTCTTTTCTCAATTATCTGCTGGGGACACTCCTTCCTATAAACCTCAGCCATCAAGCCACTGGCTTCCTTGGGTACCAAAGTGAGATCACAAGAAGCTGGCTGAGAAATGTATTAAAAGAAAGGAATGCCTGAGAATGCCACCTCCCCTTGGAGCTGAAGACCTCATTACCACACACTTACATAGAAAAGAGCCCTTGACTTCCGATTCTGTTTGTCGCTCGCAAGTTGGCCAGCAGACCAGTCAAGAGTTCTATAAGTCCCTGGGCTGGAGAGTTTACAAACTGGGTAGTTTATAAAATCCCCTTATTCTTCACAGCCTAAGTCACTGACACTCAGTTGGGTAGGGAGTAATAACTGATCCTGGTTGAGTGAAGGAGAGCCGGGGGCGGGGGTGCCTCAAAACCCTTTTCTTTCTCTGTTCTTTCACACAGGAAGCATTGTCCTAGAAAATATGGTCCCACAGTGGGTGAACCAGAGGGCAGTTTCTTTAGTATATTTTCCATATTCTTCCCTTCAGCCACTGGGGTCCTGACTGGGGCCAGTATCCCTGGGGACCTTAAGGTGAGAAACAGGTCAGGCATGGAGCACACCCTCTGCTGTTCCTCTCCTTTCTCTACAAATGGTGAAACTTTTGTTTCTAGGACCCTGTGACAGCAATCTCCAAAGGAATCCTCCTTGCCATCTTGTGGACCACACTTCCC